ATAAAATGATAATTACGATCACGTTCTAATTAATATCTTAATTTAATTAATAAAATCTTCAATTAACTTGTGCTTTATAAAAACAGGAGAATGAAAGTAAAAGTGTCCGTTAGGAAGATTTATCTGAACAGTAATACGAGTATCAAAGAGCCTGTTGCTGATAAGCATGCGAATTTTACACATTACTGAAATCCAGCAGAACATGGAACGGGCATTTTTCATTACCAGAGAATGCCAGAAGTTGTCCACTATCTGGATCGACATCCCTATTACGTATCACGTGCGTTTCTGACTCATTTAGCTGAAGACCAGTGGGATGCCTCGAACTTGAATAGTTTCAAGGAATTTCCATATTCGCCTCATAAAGGTTCACGGAAACACCAGTAAATCAGTATGACTGTTGAAAAAGATCACGCACACTGTACAACGGCAAAAGATTCAGCTTGAATTGTGACAACCACCGATGGAGAAAGGAAAATAGGAATATCCTTTTCATATAATTAGGAATTCCTTTTCTCCCTCTTGGAGATGATACAGATTTATTTCCACGGGATGGTAATGGCTACAAATTCTCATAAAATTTATAACTATTAGTATTATTACCACTACAATATAATGTGATGCGAATTTTCAGATCTATGTATATTTTCACATCTTCTGATTATTACGTATAGAATACCGAAAATTCTTTAAAGTGCTATCTGAAGTAGAAAGAAGAGAGGAACACTGGGTTTTGGAAACTTATACAAGGAAAGACCTTTGTTGAACTCATTACTTTTAACCAAATTGAGGCAATAGAGGCAATTAATGAGCGAATGCCCTTCTTCCATATGATGGGAGTGAAATCGTCGCGAAGAGAGCGACTAACTGAGAAAATCTCCAGGGCTTAATGAAAAAACCAATATCATCGCTGAAAATTAAACTGTTGTCCTTCACAGTGAATATTCAATGAATGCTCATAATGTTCTCAATAACTTGCGTTACATTTTCCGTCTTAAAAATCTAAGGACATAAAAATGCATTCAAGGTTGTAATTACAATTTTTTAAGGATATAGTCTTACATTTCATCTCCGAGCTATTTTTTCTGCAAGCTGTTTCGTATAAATGACATTTAAAGACATATAAATATAACTACTGTTTTAAAGTATAAGGTATTTTCTCCCTCCTTTCTGCATGCCTTCGTGATGTAGAAGCAGTAGACTCGGCGCGTATTCGAGAGGTACAGGTTCGAGTCCCGGCGATGGCATTGCTCACTTTTCATGTCTCCAGCTTCAGAAAAAAATCCATCATGACTCTACAGTGGCGCCAGAATTAAAAGGTGGTGGATGATGAGTCTTCACCACCACAATTTGGGGACTGGATAACTTAATCCCCAGTCGCCCTTTAAAAGGGGAGTATATAAGGTGAAATTATTGCCACTTCCAGAAGAAAAACTGCACCTAATTCTTTTCACTCTGCACTGAGTATTTTCTCCCTCCTTTCTGCATGCTTTCGTAGTGTAACGGTAGCAGACTCGGCGCGTATTCGAAGGGTCCAGGTTCGAGTCTCGGCGAGGGAATTGCTCATTTTTTATGTCTCCTGCTTCAGAAAAAAATCCTAATGGCTCTACAAAAGTAACCCACATTTATGGCTTCAGGACTTGCTCCTAAATACAGTAGCGTTCAAACTTAAAAGATAATTACCAAAATAGAACTAAAATTTAGCTACAAGACATACGAATATGCAGAAGTTGTACATTAACATTTAGAAAGACATATTACATTGCTTACAAGTTTAAAAATGCTCAAATATTGATGCTAAAGTTAAAATTAAGAGTATAGTTTTCAAAGAACGGGAAATTACGTCACCTCCGTCCTCGAAGACAATAGGCATGTAACCTGCTCTAGCGGATATGCACACTTAACAATATTTTTCCGTTCTAATAATTAAGGTACCAATTAAGTTCAATTAGATCAAACGCCACTCTTTAAAGATGGCAGATCTGAGCTCCTGAATGCTCTAAGAAGTGAACTGATGCACCGATATCATCCATCTAAGACAATCACGATATGCTTCATCGAAATGAAATGAGGCAAGTGTGGTGGTCAATCCATTCGAACAATATCCGCAGATTGAAGGTATTATAAAGCATTTCTCTCGCTTTCTTAGCATGTTTTCGTGGTGTAATGGTCAGCACACTTGGCGCGTATTCGAGAGGTCCGAGGTTCGAGTCCCGGCGAGCGCAATGCTCCTTTTTCCTTTCTCCTGCTTAAAAATAACCTAAAGTGGCACCCAAACTAAAAAGTTGATGGATGGTCAGCACACTCAGCGCGTATTCGAGAGGTCCGAGGTTCGAGTCCCGGCGAGGGCATTGCTTATTGTTCATGAAATCCTGCTTCATAAATATCCTAATGACAGTATTTAGTCACCGTAGTAGGTCACAAATTGGCATGTCATTTCAGAAAAAGGTCCAACCTTGTGTCAAAATATATATATTATAACAATGCTATAATATATATATTTTACATTCCTATAAAAATGCATGTTTTAGTACACTCCACCACCACGCCAAGTTTGTCCTATGATCTATGAAACACCCTGTATATTCCCTTGTTCTGTTAACCTAAATTTTTACCCTACAATTAATAAAACTGTGTGACTGAGATTGAAAAATTATTTAATCATATTATGGAAATGAATAATCTCTGTATAACATTTATGCATATTTCAACATGTTGACTAAATATAAATAGCACTAGTTAATGAAGCATTAACTGATAGAAGTCTAACGGCACTGTGGAAACCCAATTAGTTCAATCTGGCATTGTTATTCTTTGATAAAGTATTTACAGAATTCATATGTACAAAATACCAAGATGTTATTGCCTTCGATATGCATGGTAGGCTGTTGAAAACTGCGGAGCTGCTTCTGAGGCATGGACCAAACACAGATTTTAAATCGGCAGGGTTCCAATGAGGTTATTCCTAACTCCTGTAGAAACTCTTAAAGATGACTAGTAAGTGGGCACAATCCCTAGTGATTTATTATGACGGTCTGGTATTTCCCTTACTTTTATGCATAACACTCACAATCCTCCCAATAAGAATTTTCTGGTAACCTTTCAAAGTCTTCTTTGTAAAATAATGAAATTATACAGAGACAGTACCAACAAGAAATTTGAAGTTTTGATGATATTTAATGCTAAATATTGTGTTTACACGCAGGTGCCGTCTTGTCATTTCTTTAAAGCATTAATACTAGCAGCATTTTGCTCCAAGATACCATATAACCTCATACAGCACAAAATCTAACAGAAAATACAAAATTTAGCATCTTCCCATTGCTTGCAAGCTCTGCAGATTAATTTATTATCGAATATACTGCATACTGTTTTGGAGGTACATTTCTTGTAATGAGTGCAACTACTATAAACACTGAGCAATCCACAGAACAATAGAAAACAGAAGAGAGACAAATTCTTTAATTTATAATGTCTTTTACAACGTTTCTTAAATTCTTTCATTTCTTAATTTGTAACTTCACAGAAATATAATAAATGAAATAACAAACTGGATGAGCAATACGGCTATGTAAAATTTAAAATTAAGCGAAAAAGTAACCTTAATTTGGCACAGATTTTTTAATAAATTCTATCGATGTCGAAAGCAATACTACACAAATTCCTCCTCTTCGGAAGACTAAACATTTTGGCACAAAATGGGAGAAAATGCATAAAAAATGGATGCATGTTGTGTATCCCAAATAAATATAAATGATGATCTCAAATGACAGCAAGTGGTGCCTAGAGGCGTCCTGTTACTCTGACGGATCGTGGAATTAAAAAAAAGTGGCATGCAGTGATTCTTCCTCTACAGCGAATGGACCTGGATATTACATCCAAAAGTGATTATGCAAACCATTCCAAGGCTAGGAGCTAAATGCCAGCGATTGGTGTTCTGCTAACCACAAGCTGTCATTCAAAGGCTGTCATGATGTATATCCAGGCGGCAATGAAGGCTAGAAGGAAAGACTATTTTCTTCAGTGATGAGTCTCACTTCTGTCTCGGAAGCAAGTATGTTCATAGATTGGTTTGGAAAGCATGTACACAATGCCATAAATAAGATTTTACGACAGAATGTCATATCAGGACTTCTATTGGGATAATATGAAGCAAAATATTGTATGGAAGGCGGACTCCTCTAGTCTCTCTTCGTGGAGTACTGATAGCTCTATATTCTACTGATTTTGTCCCACAATCAGTGGTACAGCCATTCTTGTAAGATGTTGCAGAAGCCGCATTTCAACACAATTCCAGGCTGCATGTTACTCATGCTGCTATGATTAACATGCGTGGACCTGACCTGCTGCATTTTTGTACTTTTCCTGCATTTAGTACCTCTCAGACATTTTCGATTACTGCAAAAGGAAAAGCTGCTGCCCACCTTATTGTCTTACGTGCCCAAGTGCCTGTAGTGTTGCAAAACATTCCTCAGCAATGATTAATGATTTTATTGATAGCATCCGAAGGCACATGTAAATGTGCGAACTTCTGCGTATAGCAGTTATAACGAATATTCAATAAACCGAGTTTATTTTAGCATTTTGTTTAAAATTTTTGATCATTTGCATATAATTAATATATCTATTGAATTTGCAAATTTCAGATTTCTGGGACATTTTCATTTTGGTTTTGCAATTTTAATGGCTGAAACAGAGTTTTCAAACGAAAACTGGAAGAATAAATTTATCAAAACGATGATAAATAATCTTCATCAGTTAATAGTTAAAAAAACAGTTTTGCTTTAAAAGTGCTATTAATACAACAGTATATTACAAAATGCGGAATTAAACAGGAAAGAAGGAAAAGAATCTTGAAAATTATTATTTTTTTTTTATATTGGCAAAATATATTATGCACATGGGGTTAAAAAGGAGTGAGAGACATGCTTTAAATCATTTTTAACCAGTTGAAAGCAAAAACAAAACATTTATATGTTTTCTATTGCCAGAAAACTTACCTTCTATGCATTCAATAACAAATAATGAATCCTGCAACATATTACATATGACCTATAAAATAATAAAATATTTTATTTCCAAAAATTCTTCTACACGATCAGCAGATATAATGCAAAATAACAAAAGATGTAATCTATTTCCAATAATTATAATATAGCACACTTAATGATACATAAGTCTAGTCAAGATAGAACTATTTCGTACAATATTAATATACAATAAAGTGCTATTTCGACAATGAAATTAATGACTAAATCATCTTTTTCAAGTTATTAAGGCATCATAAAATTAAAATAATTACCTCATCCGTAACTATCACACGTGTACCTGATGGCCCACTAACATATAATTCACAGGTATAATCTGCTGGAAACCCACAAAATGATTTTAATTTTGAGCTGAGTTCAAATAGTTTGGCAGTTTTTAAATAAATGGCACTATAAGCTGAAAGGAAAAATAAATTTTGAAAAGTCTATAAGCTTTAATATAACAACACATAAACTAATTTATTCATAGAATTCAGAAAAAAATCGGAGAATTGTGTACAATTTTACAAGAAAGAACTTCGTTTGTTGATCACAGTGCTAAAAAATAAGCAAGCAACACACTAATTATTACTTTAGTTGCATTATTACTTTAGCTTTGACAAAGCATGTATACTTGTTTTAGGAGGGATACTTTCGAGGAGGATTTTCTAAAGGGAACTGATTAGTATTCTCGCTATGTATGGGAAAACATTACCATTCCCATGGCCTATGAGCTTCGTTCAGACTGTAGTATACATGTCGTAAGTGGTTTAAGCCGAGCTTCGTAGCTAGGTAATCAGACCTTGCTATGTCACAAAAACTGGTTTAGAGGTTTTGGTACATAGTTCGAAGTTTTAAACTTTATGCCGACTTGGTATAAGAGTTCACCAATCAGAGCGAATGGGCAAAATCTATTAGACGGGAAAACAGAGTGGGAAAGCTGTAGACACATCCACACACGCACAAGTTTAGCTTCTCTAACTGGCTACGTCTTAGACCGTGTGTCGCAGATGTGAACGGACCTCCCGCATTTTATTCCTTATCTCTTTCATTCTTGGTGAAGATTGGGATTGAAAAGCCAAGATTTCCCAACCTCAAAGTCAACACGGACTCGCACTTGTTATATAATCTCATAAAACTGAATTTCCCAAGGCTTGATGGTTCTGCACGGCAAACATATCGTCGATTCAGCTAACAATACCTTCATTAATTAAATTACGATAGCTCAGAAAGAGGCTACCACAGTGGTTGAATACAATTCTTCCAATTCACGAACTCCTTAGGAGATCAAAACACATGTCAAAAAAGAGATCCGCTCAAGAAACATTATCATATCTCGTGAGACCCTGAACTAAAATTTTGCATGGAAGTCTGAATTTCCAAGAAAGTTCGCTTTAGAAACTCATACGAAACCTTAAAGAAATCAGACTTGTAGAAAGCCCGTTCTTTTTGAAAACTACGAGGCATAATATAGACGAAATAAAGAAGGAAAACCTGGAATGCAATTCACTCCTAGAAATGCAATTTACTCCTTATTTCGATCCAGTCGACCCACCCTTCATCGAACATGTAGATACACATACTGAAAACAGGCTCAAACCGCCAACGGCTAAAAATGTCACTGATCCCAGGACTCCGGGAGAAATTTAGGAGATTGTTAGGAAGCTATGCACATGTGCCAGGAGATGACGGAATTATATTAGCAATTTAACGACGAACAACGCTAACAAGTACAATGAACGCGTGCCCCACGCACTTGTACTTCTCTCGTCTGTGGAAAAGGGCAGGCATTTTCATGCTGCCAAAGCACAGAAAGAACCATACAAAGCTGGATTCTTTCCGTCCTATCAGCTTTCTGTTAGAAACTGAAAAATTACTAATTACTAGAAAAGTTGATCCTATGGCGGCTCAGACCTTATCTTGACTTACTTCCAGACGAACAGTTTGGTTTTAGAAAAGTATATATATATATATATATATATATAAAACCACTAAACACAAAGAAATAACTAATAAGAACTATCAAAATTCTTAGCGCGGACACTTATAAGAAAAGATGTATTGCGCTCCTTACGCTATATGTGGCGAAAGTGTTCGACAAGCATCTGACATAAGGAACTAATTTACAGGCCCCTGACTCTAAATTTTAGAAGAGAAATGACTCTGATAATCAGGTTCTTCCAAGAAGAGGCACCTTGGGAATAGGGCAATGTAACGATGCATTCTTCCTCTAAGACAGTTCCGCAAGAATCCTGTTTTGGCCTGCACTTTCTTTTCTAAGCAGCTGATTTTTCTAAACCTGGAAATGACCACGGTTAGCTTTCGGCCGGCGGCTTACAGGCTACACAACAGCCTAGGTAAGTTTAAGTTCGCTCAACTATGCAACAACAGTGTTACACGCCAAAATTCAGGAAATAGAACTCCGATGTAGAAAACAGCGAGTGTACAATACAATAGTGAAAGCGAGTCTGTACTGAGACGGCACAGGTCGAAGTGTGAAATTCAGAATGAATTTTAATTAATGAAATAGTCTCTACAGTAACCAAAAGTTACGTTTCTGGAAGTTATTCTTAATTTCAATCTAAACTGAGGCCAGTACATCAAGTATGCAGTCAGTAGAGGTAATACATGAAATCCAGCCCTTACTTGATCACAAGTCAAATCTGGACCTTAAGAGGAGCTTTATCCATGACGAATTATCAAGCCTATTCTATGTCTCCAAAGCCAGGGCAATGGCTACGCCGGCAGTGGAATCCGTATATTCAGAATTACGCATTAGATGCATTCGATTTTATCCTGAATATACGAGGAGATTGTTCTTATTGTGTCGGCAGAGACTGGGATTTCAACTGTGATCAGTTTCGCTGGAAAGTTAGGTATGAATTCTTTTTTTTTTTAAGAGCTTTTATGAATTTTATACCCGCGATCAAAGGGTTATTAAACTGCAATTTGCCCGAAAATAAGGTGCTTTTTCATTATCACGAATGCTTTCATTTTCACTGGAAATTCGATGCTGCATAGGAACCTAAATGTCCCTCTGATTAGCGAACACCTGAGAAATGATAGCAAGTAGCTGTTTTGATAAGGGAATTAAGAGCTTTATGTTTAATTACTCACCGATAATCAATTATGTAGTAATGGAAGACGATCGTTATCGATAATCAGCTATGTAGCAATGGAAAATGATGGTATTTAGGCAATGATCAGACCTATTTGTTCATTGCCTACGCACCTTAAGGCGACCATAACTTTATTGCATGTACTTGTAAATATTTCTGTTCTTTTCCATGTTTTGATTTATAATTTGTAGTCATTAGTATATGCTTGTATATATTTTTGTTCTTATTTCCAAGAATTAATTTGTACTCAGGTTTTTCTTTTACCTTTATTTTAACTTACATTTGTGTTGTGTATTGTGTTCTTAGTGTTTGAAATTTTAGGGCTTTAAATAGGATTGTATATTTTGAATTTTTCATATATATATACTCGTGTTGTACATAAGTTGATTATACTTTTTGGCTTCACCTATCACTAGTGCGACGTTTTATCTTTCCGTCATCATTTTCTCTCATTTTTACATATTTGAACATAGGCTTGCACAAATATATTACATTCGTATATCTGACAAATGTTAGCCACCTTATCGACTTGCTACTTTAGAAAGATATAAAAAGGGGACGCTAAACATGATGACATTCCAATTTTTCTTGCTATGCGATGTCTTCGTGGAAAACTTTCTAAGGGAAACTGGTTCGTATACACGTTACACAGGGAGAAAACTACAAAAAGGCTATGCAGACAGCCCGTTCCCCTGAAATAGATCCCAGGTTGGAACTACCAGCGTTCAGCAGTTTTTGCCGCTCGGCCACTGGTGGGTTATAATGGGATGAAGACACGATTACATTTTCAAGCGGTCTGGAGTACACAGTGTGCAGAACTCGGTACAAAGAACTGAAACTTCTGGCAGCAATAACGGCTGTAATCCTGCTGGGCATGAAGTCCAATTGAGCTCGGATACAAATACGGGTATTTCGTTCATGCGGCTTTAGCTCTATGCCGCATTTCATAAATCGCAGTAGCAGGCGCTGCTGGTGGCATGCCAATATGTCTGTCAGTAGCCTACGATCAGATACTCTCAAAGGGTTAAGATATCTGGAGAACAAGCTGGCCAGGGTAACAGTTGAACTCGCCACCTTTAGTGTGTGTGTGTGATAGACAGAGATTTGTCCATGATTGCAATTATGTGCTTTCCTTTTACTTTAATTTTATAATATTCCTCTTTATGTGTTCATATTTCTCTCTCTCTCTTTCCCCCTCTTCTTGGTGTTCTCTTGGGTGCAGCCCCTTTTTTGCTATAAGGTGAATTCATATTCACTAGGCGTGCCGGACAGCGCCCACATTCTAACTAATCTAACTTTCTGTATCGCGGAAGGTCAGGGAAGCATAGGCAATATGAATCGTGCATAATCTTGCTGAAAAATTACGTCACGCAAGGTTGTAAGACGAGGCACAGCCATAGGCTTTAATGCGTCCCCTCCCCCTAAAAAAAAACCCGACGACAACTGTTTAAATTATCGGCTATGCGAACAAGATGTGACCGGATTGTACACCCAATGGTACACAATTCCGGTACGCCAGGTTATGCCAGCCGTCATAATTGTCCAAGTTACGGACAAAGCGAACAAGATGCATCCGGAATGTGAACCTAATGCACCCGATTCCTATACGCCAGGTTAAGCCAGCCGTCATACGCTGCCAGTATGACGATGACGAATGCAAGATGGCAACATTTTCCCTCTTCTGTGCTTCCAACACAGATACCTCCACCATGATGTTATATGTAGAATTGAAATTCGTCTGAAAAAATGATGTGATCCTTTTTGTCTGTCCAGTGTCGCAGTTCGTTTGCACCACTGTAGGTAAGCCTGCCTCTGCTGCAGCGTCAAGAAAGCCCACAACAAAGGTCGCTGTGCTGACAATCGTGGCGTTGCTGACATCAGCACACTGTCTATGCGAACACTTATCGTCCTGCATACGAGCCAAATTCCTGACTCAGGCTACGTGACCTATGGCTTACGATCCCCCACAAGATCGAGAGTCTGTCCTCTCTGGCGTTACAGGCCCAAGGTAATTCAGATCCTGCATGACGTTGAGTATAATCCTCCTGGATCTATAGATTCCATATTATGCCTGACAGTCTTGGGATCCCGACCAACACGAACAGGAAAGTCGCAGAACTATGAACTAAATTAGAGGTCTTTAACCTTTCACGCCCGAGAGCCACATTAATAAATTCACAAAGATCCACGGGCCACATGTCCGTCAAAATAGTGTAGTCAGAAAATTTATAAAAAAAAGGGGGTTGTTTATCAAGACTACAATTGATTCTAGGCGAAGAGATAGTGTTACAGATTTGTATACATAGAGAGACATTGGTTCCAAAAAGTCAAAAGGAAATCGAATTAAAATCTTTTGCAACTTTTTTTAACTATGAAAAAAAAAAAAAAAATAAGCATAAAGATGATTGTACAGAACGATGTTACAAAATGCATTTACAATAAAAAAGGGGGGAGGGGGAACACATTTCTGGCGGGAGATGGTAGTTACTTAAGTTTTAATGCAAAATTTGACATTGTTTTTGCTTGATTAAAGTTTCAATATTCGGTTTAATCCGTGTTGTTGCAATTCGTAAAGTTTCCTCCAAATGTCTATCTGTCTGCCGTGTTCTTGTTTTTGATTTCAATTTTACTAAAAAGCTGTTCACATATGTAGGTACTGCCAAAGATAGAAGACATGAAGTGTGCATGTTTACGAATTCCTGGCTACTTGTCTTCGGTCACTTACTTCGAATAAAGATATATTAATGTAGGATTTTCAAGAAACTTTTATTTTACTGCAATCACACTGCAAATCTATAAATTCTAATTGAAGTTCAGGTGGAACACTTTCAACGTCTACTGAAAACGGCAAGGAGAACATTCTGATAAAAATTTCATTTTCACGAAAATCGGAAAATCTGCTTTTGAATTCCTCTTTCAAATTTGAAATGCATTGTACATAATTATTTAAATTCCATGTTGTAGAGTTCTTCACACACTCCATCAATTTTGGAAAGTGAGTGGAATTCTTATTTAGCAATTGACTTTCCCACAGGATTAATTTTGTCCCAAAAGCTTTCATAAAGTAATAAAGATTAAGAACAAGTACATCTTTTTCCAGTTAGTGGTATTTCAAATCATTGAGATGACCTGTAATATTCGCAAGAAATGCAAAGTGTCTCAACCATTTATCATCACTGAACTCGTGAATAGATTTCCCTTTAGATTCCATGAATTGTTGAACTTCGCTCTTCAAAGAAAACAGGCACTGAAGCATATGTAAGGAATATAGCAGATGAACGGATATAGCTATATTGGTATGTTTAAATCCTCAATTTTATCCATTCTGATACCTTTTAATCATATTTTACATGCAGATATTAAATCTTTGCTATATGGCAGACATGCAAAATGATAATGGATATAGCAGACGTAAATATTAGATTTTTATTTATAAATAATGCAAATTTTAAAGGAATTTCTTTGACTGAATAATCCTGTAAAAATTAAGTTACAGAAGATTTCAGCACGTGGTCATTCACTGAAGAAATATTAAGGCGAGTCAGGGTTAAAGTAAATTTTAAGTTCACCATGCGAAATGTCTTTTGGCTCAAGGTTGAGAATTAGCACCAAGTTAAATTAAATACGAATATAGAAATTAAATGCGAATGACTTGCACGATTCACAAAATTTGATATTATGTGTAATTTGAGGCGTAAAAGTGAAGTAAGGGGGGGGAAAAACAGCATTTCATTTCATAAAAAGTTCGAGTATATTCATTCTAAGCCGCGCATTCCAGACATGAAAAATGCAATTTAAAGTTTATTAATCGGTGTACCAGAACAGGAGATGTAAAAATGACTTCCACGCAATTTTTTAGACTCACTGTACATGAGATCATTACTAGAAACAGAAATGCAGATGTTAAAGCACAGAATTTAAGTATAGTGCTAACTTATAAGATCATTCGCAAATAGTTACTGCAGCAAATAGTACCATAAACAGATATCCCAAGAGCATGGAGAAAATCAGAATTTCTTGCAAATTTCGGGAACTTTGATAATATTAATATGCTAATTAAGAGTCATACATTTATGCAGTATATTTAAATACTCTTATAAACAATATTTTTATTACCTTTCTGGGAGGGCAAGCGAATATATAAGGTTAAATAGCACCTGAAAAACATTTAACAAAAACAAATTACTTCTGTAAAACAAAAATGGAAGCTTTTATAGCTCATTAGAGTTATAAAATGCCATTTCAGACTAAATGCAAGACCAAAAACTTACTTTCCATGAAGAGTGTTGAATAGACGAATCCCATTAGCAGTGCCACATATGTCAATTAAATCAGCACGCGTTAGGTTCAAAATATCAGCACCTGAAAATTTCAGATATGAGAAATCAAACCACATATATATATACAATCTTAGACAAAAAAAGCGACGCACCGAAAAGATATAAAGCAAATTGGACACAAATTGATATGCATACAGGTTTCGACGGAAAATGCAAAATTTTACATTTTGGCTGCTAATGAATGAACGGTTGTCGCTACAGCACATCTAATCTGCACAACTGGCAGGATATTTAAGAGAAGAAATTACAATACCAGGTCATAAATTCTTCACGAATTTCATTTCGTGTACTCTGGTAGAGAGTAACTATGCCTCGCATACAGGTGCGCGAACGATACGCGCAGATGTCAGAATTTGAGAGCGGTCGTGTAGTTGGTCTCAAAGAAGCCGGTTGTTCTTATCGGTGAATAGCTAGACAATTGAGCAGGAGCGAGCGATGCCACTATTAGATGATGTTGGCAGGAATGGGTGAACCAGGGCCACACACAGCGTCAAGAAGGAAGCGGTAGGCCTAGAGAAATGACAGAACGTGAAGACCGAGCAATCGTCAGAGCGGCACTCAGAGCCAAACATGCATCATTATCATCGATTGTACGTGCAACTTCAGTGACCGCAAGGACCACTCATAGACGACTCACAGAAAGGGGGCTGAGGTCACGGCGCCTCTTGCGCCGACTACCATTGACCTTTGACCTTTGTACAACGTCCAGCCCGTTTGCAGTGGTGTCGGGCTCATTCGCACTGGAATGTCACTGATTGGATTGGATTAGAATAATAGTCTTAAGTGATGAGTCCCGCTTTGAACTGAGCCCCGATAACCAGCGAAGGCTTGTCTGGAGACGCCAAGGACAGCGGTGTGATACCAACCTGACTGTCTTCCGGCAGACAGGCTGACGACCAGGAGTGATGGTCTGGGGTGCCATTTCATTTCATAGTAGGACCCCTTTGGTTCTCATCCGTCGCACCCTTATAGCACAGCGGTGGGTCAACAAAGTTCAAGGCCGTTGTGTTGCCCTTCATGTCACGCCTGGGCTTACATTTCAGCAAGATAATGCCCGCTCCCACACTGCACACGTTTCTACTGCTTGCCGAACATTACCTTGGCCAGCAAAGTCGCCGGATCTCTCTCCTATTGAGCACGTTTGGAGCATTATGGGCAGGGCCCTCCAACTAGCTCGGGATGTCGACGATCTAACGCGCCAGTTGGACAGAATTTGCCAACGATATTCCTCAGGAGGACATCTGCAACCTCTATCAATTGATTGCAAGCCGAATAACTGCTTGCATAAGGCCCAGAGGTGGACAAACGCATGACTGACTTTTTAACTTTGGGAAGCTCTGTCGACATTCAATAACTCATCCAATTTTTCTCAAACTGTAATCATGTGTTTTTCTGTACATGCACATCACTTTTACCGACTTTTGTCCCATTTGGATAACTCCTTCTTGGTGCGTCATTTTTTTTTTTTTTTTTTTTTTTTTTTTTTTTTTTTTTTTTGTCGTCTAAGAGTGTAGTTCTGATCTAAGTGGTTCTTAGGAAAGTCCGCTGAAAAATAGATATAATTCAAGAGTGTATTAAGAGTGTATATACACTCTGCCAGGGGGAAAAATTACATGCACCCAGAAGAAATCTAGCTACAATCACGAAACTCGGCAGGAATGTAGTCTAGTATGAGGTATGCAAATGATTTGAATTTCGACTCTAATGAGACAAGCGTAAGCGCATTATGCGCATATGAGATGTGCAGCTGGAAGGGTTTAAAAGCATGATTACTCGTGCCGTAGGGCTATTCAAACGAATCTCTCGACTTGGGTGGACAGTACGGTGACTAGAGATGGTTCTGAAACGTAGCTGACGGCAGTACGAACAGTTGTCAGACTTTGAGAAGGGGCGCAAGTAGGCCTCAGTGGAGCAGGTTGGTCGAACAGGCGTATCAGACGCCACTTCGGTCGGAGCGATACGGTAGTTGCTCGGTATTGCCGACAATGGATAACGGAAGGGATAGTCTACCATCGCGGAGGATCAGGGCGCCTCAGGAACACAAATGAGCACAAGGATCATGCAATCATAACAGCGACCATTTCTGCAACAGCAACGGTGCTAGCATTGATTCGACGCCATTTACCATCTTACAGGCATCGTGTGGTAAAACATCTGGAGATGACTGGCCGACGCTGGTATATGCTGCCAACATCCATTAAAATGCCTACCGTGTAGGCCGTGTCGAATGAATTTTTGCAAGCTGGATTTTGACCGACTTCAGGCGTGTAATCTTCAGCGATGAATCTCGATTCAGTCTCATTGCTGATGACCAACGCACACGCGTGAGGAGGCCAGCGGTCCGATCCGACAATTGTTGCCTAGCGGCATACGGCAATTATACAAGAACAAGCGATTTGTTGGGGCAGACGATCACCTTTAGTCGTCCTTCAAGACACTATGAGGACTCGCAGTTACGTGAACATTTTAACGCCGCTTGTACTGCCTGTTATCAAGTCGCCGAGGGGCCATTTCTCAGCAAGACAACGCTTGTCCACATATTGCACGACTCTCCTAACAATGTCTTCAAGGATATGACGTACTCTTGTGACCTGTCAAGTCACCAGACCTCTCGCCAATAGAGCACCAGAGGTGTCAGAGGTGGCTATACTACTTATTGATTTCTAATTTTTTTCATGCCATAACTTCTTAGTACTCATTTGTTTATCTCCTCATACACTAGATACATTTTAAGTTTCGTAATAGTACTAAGTTTCCTTCTGGGTGTATATATATTTTGTGATAGAGTGTATGCACACACTTGCATGCACAATTAAGGGAATTTGCAAATTATGTCTCTCTTTACACACAAATTATGTCTTATTATTGTTGAACCAAAGGTACTAATTATGGCACCGATAAATTAAGAATATCCTCAAAGTCGAATACATAAGCGTACTGGAACTGTGATTGTGGAGATCATAAAAGCGCAGGAGGTGTACTCGTACTTCCTTCACGATCTTCGCCATGTTTCTCGCGAGTTGTGTAAATTTTATGAGTAACCAGGAACGTATGGATGACGAAATGAGATGCAGCATTGTCGGCAGATTGACGGCAGGCTACTCAAAAGCGTAGGTGGCTTACAGAGCTTAATGTAACGCCCAGTGTCATCTGTGAATTCTGAAAAATGTTTCGGGACTATGGAACCATACCAAGACGATCTAGACAAGGTCGACCAAGACCCATAACGATGAATGCGGATCGTAATTTGGCATTTTCAGTGCGCCAGTACAGGAGTGCTACAGCTTCACAACTCTCACGTGAGCTGTATACTGCCACTAGAATCTGAGTTTCACGGTGTACAGTTGCCCGAAGGCTTCACGACGTTATCTCTCCCTCATCAAGGATATGGACCATTACGATGATGGAGGTGTAATGGTTTGGGGTTGGAATTATGTTGGATGACCACAAACTCCTGCATGTGATTGCTTCCTGACTGCTTTGAGGTATAGAAAGGAGACCTTAGAGCCCATGTTCTACTTTTCAAGGGCACAGTTGGTCCTGAATTCCTGTTAATGGACAACAACGCTCGCCGACATAGACTCAGCGGTGTCCACCGAAAACACCGCGGCAAAAGCATCGCCGACGAAAACTTCCCGGAGAAAACAACACAAGGCGAAAACGTCACGGTACAAAACATCGTGGGAGAAAAGAAAGCAAAGAGAAAACATCGTAGCTCTAAAACACTGTAGTACAAAATATTGTCGTCGAAAATAAAGCGGTTAAAAAACTTAGCAGTTTAAAAACATCGTCCTCGAAAATATTGTGCTAAAAAAAAAATAAAGTACCTACAAATTACCGCGTGACGATAACATTACACACATGCGTTTTTCAGGTTTGAAGCAGTTCCACACCTGCTGTCTTGCATTTAAATCTTCACCTATGATGACTCCATTGTTGAGTGCAAGTAAAACATCTAGGTCATACATAACATGTTGTGGCCTTGGACTGGGAGGTACACAGGTAGAGACAAAAGTGTATGTAAGTGAAATACTGGATGTGATGTTAACAGCTGTGGCTTCAGTGGCTAGAAGCTGTGGTACTGTAACTGGATAATGGGGGATGGAGCACTTTGCAAGTAGAGCAGTACCACCACTTATCTGTTCACTGAGAACAACTCTGGCAGTCCTATAATATTAGTTGCAGAAACTAATATTATTCTCTGGACTAAACTTGGCTTCTTGGAAAAGTAAGTAAGGACTGTACTCATTTGCAAAGTCCTGAAGCTCGTTAAGTCTACATGATAAACCATTTGCATTGCATGTAACAATATACAAATAATTTATGAGCTATTATACAATATTTATACTTAGAGAACTTAAAAAATCTTCAAATATTGAGAAAAGAATAAATAATTTATCAATAGAATTGCTGGCAGCTTTTATTTCCTGCATAAGGTCAGCAGTTCTTAAGTTACTAACAATCAAAATACAATTAAAAAGGTTATTAAATCTTTAAGCATTTGTAAGATATCAGTTAAAGGACTGTTATTAGAGTTCTCAGTCTATGGCCTCATGGCAGACAGATTTGGTGAAATTAGAACAGGAGCAGCAGTTTGAGCTGGGGCTTGTACAGGGGTCTAATTTATGGTTTCTTTGGCAGGACCGGGACCTCTCATTGGCAGCATTGGGTTAACTTTGCTGAAATTGGGCAGGTTTCCTTTAGATAACGTTTGTAAGACAGATGATTTGGGTAACACAGGAATCTTTGGTTTTGGATTTTCCTTTCTTACTGCATATGCAAGGCACCCCCTATAATATGCAGTGTTGGGCCCCCAGCAGTTGCAGCACTTCGGTTTATCAACTGTCTTAAATTCACAATTTATACTTTTATGTGATCCAGAGAATTCAATTTATGTGTCAGAAGAATGATGAAAAAACTGACAGTTATGGCATTCAGCCACAATTTATCGAGTTTTAGAGGGATCAATATATACCTTGAAATACAAAAAGTATACAATCTCATAAACATTTTCTCCACTCAGGCTGTTGAAAAGGGCATTTTCCAATCAGTAAAATGAAAAGGCAACTCAGCAGAAATGCGAGGATGCAAAAATGCAAGGAATCAGTGCGCAGTGCAAGACAGCTTAAAAAGAAGAAAGGAAGGCGTATTTCGAGGATTTTTTCTGCGAGTAACATTGTACATGCAGCATGGCTACAAAAAATCATCAAGACAAATTTGCATGTGGTAGAATGATGAGCTTGAAAAACAGCATAGTTTGACGCCTGTCAGTCAGGAGTTTTGAATTTATAAGAGTTGTTTTACGAGCTTAAAAAGCCTTCTAAACGATAGATACAGCTATAAGAAAGGTTGCTGGTGGTTGACCAAGGAAAACAACGATGACTGATGATGATATAAAACCTTACAGGCGAAAAGAGATCAAAACAAGACAGCGGACAACATTGCTAAGATCTGCGCACGAGCCCCCGACAACAGTTTTCCTGGTTTACAGTGGATATACTTCATAAAAATAGGTTATTCAGCAGATTTTATGAACACTGAATACCACTGATAGAAAGAACATTGCATTCTGAAAAGTGCATACCATTGCAAAAAAGAGTATCACATCGCTGCAATTTCCTTTGATATAAAAAGAGGATTCGACACTGTTAGTTGGCTATCTATTTTAGATACCGTGTGAAAGATGAACTCTCCAGGTGATCTTTATAAATTATTAAAAAGTTATTTTAGTGAAAGGAAAATTATATTTTCCATTCAGTAGAGTTTGATCTGTAAAGAGGATGTCCATGGGGATCATGTGGCTCACCACTGCTCTGGAACCTGATCACGAATAAATTGATCTCACAAGACATACTAGAAGATGTAGAAATGATATGTTTTGCTGATGATCTGAGGCTACTTATAAAAGAAGTCTCACTTGAAAAACTAAAAAAGAAATTTTAGGAAATAGTTACAGTGGAAGTTACAGTATTGTTGGAAGAGAGAAGAAAAGCTTTAATTTAATTTCGGCAAGACTTCAGCAATATTATATCCCAGAAGAGGAACTCACATAAGAAATTCGAGACTCCTATGTAATGGAACACAGAAATAAAATTCGTAACAAGCATGAAATACCGGGGAATAATCACAGATAATAAATTAACATTTATAGAACATTTCAACTACATTCATAGAAAAAGTGAAGCAAGTTTGAATTCCTATAAATGTAATTTTATATGGTACATTTTAGCAAGAAAAAGTAATATAATATGCAAAATCTATAAATACATTATAATTCCAATGATCACAACTGGTACTGGAGCATGGGGAACTGAAGCTGGCTGTTGCGCATGACACGAGCATTTAGAACCATCTCTACACAGGATGGGGGGGGGGTTTGCGTACTGGCTGGCGTCCTCCCTCTTATCTTACCCCATAAATTCTTTTTCAAAAACATTTATTAAGGACTAGAAAGAAAGATCTTATAATCTACGAAGATTACTTTGTAACAAGAAGCGCCTTTGAAAGACTAAATATCAATTTAATTCACCCAAAGGAGAGAATATCGATCCCTTATATTAAAATAACACCAACAATAGGTGAAATTGACATAGATACGGATGGCTCAGGGATTATAGAGGAGATTGGATTGACTTTTGTTGTGTATTTTCATAGCTGTGAAATATAAATAAAAAATATAAACTAGAGGAATTCAACTCTGTTTATCAAGCCGTATTAGCCGCTAACTCAAAAGCGACGCATTGGATAAAAAGAAACTTGTCAAGGCAGCACACAATTCAGATTTATTCCGATTTCTTATCAGCATTAGGAAGCCTCTCCAGCCGGACCAGGAGAGTTTTTATAATCAAGAAGTGAAAGAACTCCATAGGGATCTTTCCACAAAACATCAAATAAAACTTTCTAGGGTGAAAGCACACGTTAGATATGAGGGAAACGAGTGGGTGGACGCCTTTGCAAAAGAGGCTGCTACTGAGATAAATTTAGAAAGAATAGAGTATCGGGATTCAAATGGAAAGCAATGGAAAAAATGAATCTAAATATAAAGAATGTAATAAAAAACAGAAAGATTCAGACCATAGAAAGGACTACTTGGAAAACATCGAAATCTCAAAAGTATAAAAACCATATTTGATAAGGACTTTTGTCAGATCCTTTCAAGTCACAGCAGATTCCCGGCATACCTAAATAGATTTACAATTCAAGAAAACGCAAACTGTTTACTATCTGGAAAGGTGGGAAATAACAGACATTATTTGAAAGAAATCGAATTAACAAAAGATCTTAGGAGTAGCAAGGACATTAAAGACCTGGTTTATAATGGAAATGAAGCAAAAATGATCATGGAAAAAATTAATAAAAACCTGGTCGCAATTGGAATAGAACAATAACAAAGAACAAACAATATGGCTGCTGCTGGAGACTTCGTTTATTTATGTTGCGTTCTCCTATATGTTTTTTCTCTGTGGTTTGTCTAGAAAAGCCATAAAGTGAGCTTGGGCTTTCCAAAAGGGGGGCACTGCACCATACCTGCCTACCTACCATTGATAGCTGACCATTGGTGACACCATTTACATTGGTTTAGGGAACATAAAGACAATACAGTAACGTCCATCAATGCAGTGCAGCTTCATCAAAGCAATCACATCCTCTTTGATGACAGTTATATCAGTCTGACAAATGATATTCAGTGCCAGCTGATAAGGAAAGAGGTAGAAACAAGCTATCATCCTATTAACATCAGGGAAAGACACCATTGGGGGGTGCTGGCATGCTTGTATGAGGAGACATTGCGATGAATGGAAGGACAGAGGTTCACTTACTGGAGACTGTCATTGTGATGAAGTTATCCTCTCCTATGTGTGTCTTTTCTGATGTACCACTAATCCCGGCTTTGTTTTTATGGAAAACAATAGATGGCCACACAGAACTCATGCTGTTGAAGACCCCCTGAAATAAAAAGATATCCACAGAATGGATTGGAAAGCATGCTCCCTGATTCAAGTCCCACTGAACATATGTGTGATACTTCAGGGATACACCTGATGCCACAATCTTACCTTCCAAACACCACACAACTGAAACAGATGCTCCTTGAAGAGTAGAAACTCTTACTCAAAGAACTGTTAGACAATTTGGTGCTGATTATCGACAGATGGTGTAATGCTCTCATTGCATTTAAGGAAGGTCATATCTCTTACTAAAGCTCTTTGGTTTGCTGTTCTCCTCCTTGGCCGGACAGATTTTTTTTTTTTTTTTGTACTAACACCATTCTGTCAATAAAGCCTTTTGCTGTTCATTATGTCCTGTATGCATCCTGTTGATTTCTTTCTCTACTCTACTTCTTCTCATCTTTGTAGTAGTAGTTAAAAAACTACTACTACATTGTGCCTTGGTGGTATGAATATCATGTCTCCCAGTTTATTTTTAAGAAATTATGGCCAGAATCAGGAAAGTTGCTGAATTTTTGCACGCTAGTGTGTGTGTATATATTCAGAAGGCAGCTAGCATAAATTGTGTTCAAAATTGCATTTCAAAACTAAATTTTAGACATCACAGTTAAAACAAAATCTCTTAGAAGACTGTTTACATAACAAATTTTTATAAACAAAACATATTCTTTATTACCTGTAAAGTTTGAGAAGTCTTTTACATAATTAGTAAACATATTTCTTTGCAGCCATGAGGCACACTCTTCAACAGTAGAATCATGTGTTAATGAGGCAATCTAGGAGAAACAATCTATTTTTAAATATCTAATCTATAAACAAACAAATAATCAATTGTACAGAATGGTTCCAATAATTACTGTAGAGGAATAACAACAGGTTTGATAAAAAATTGAGAGTAGAGAAATTTTCAACACAAAAGTAAATATCATGCACTAGTAATAAATAATCTCAATGGCATATTAAATATATACAGTAACATCTAGATTAAAATTCAGACATAAACATGAAAAATAAAAAATTGAAATAAAAGCCTTACTGGCTGATAAATAGTTAAACAAGAAATAAAGAAAAATATTTGAGACTATGGGTTCTCAAGCAGTATAAAGCAATATTTTTTTACGCCTAACACCAGAAATAAGTAACACACTGCTGTCATCAACTAAACTGTGGAATGTGCTGTAATTTAATTGTAGAAAAGGATTCAAGAGTCTACCCTAAAGTGAGCAGAATCTCAAACTCTGAAAAACAGACTTGCGCTACTCTCCTAGCTAATTTAATGTATAATGAACATGGCTTATATTACTGTTTCAGTAAAGGTGAAGAGTTTTATGTTTATTAACCCATTATCTTATTGTTTTTACTCTCATTTCTACTTTTGTAAGCTTCTACCATGATGAAAATTAATTAACATAAATAAGAAGAGAATTCTTGAAATTAACAGACGGTTTTTGTTAGCTACCAACGAGCTTTTCGAAACTATTTTAGACCAGCTCTTAGCTTTACTTGAATCGGCTTTAGCTAGCCATTTTTGCTCGCGTGATTAGAGGGCCTGAACCAAAGATTAGAGTTGATTTCCTCCATGGGAAATGCATACTTTAATCACATAAATTTCTACATTCTGTTAAATCCTGCAAGAGACGGTGACTTAAATTTTATGTTAATTACATGAGTAAGTTAAAATTTTATAAAAAGGTCCTCCCCCCCAAACCTTCTTCCAAGTTTACAGTTTTTTCTATGGAAGGCTAAGATGAGGCAATATGTTCCTTGTTTACAAGCACTCAGAATTTAAGATTTAAGTAGACAGATTCCGTATATTGGCGCTCAATGTAAATAATGCCTGAAGGCTCTGCAACGTTTAGTTCAGCATCTGTAAATTTACAAATTGAAGGAATGCTCGCAGTCCTGATAGGAGGTGTCAGGTATCTCATAGATGGCATGTGGACTTCGATAAAGCCAGCTGTCAGTGTTAATGGTATGCGTTCTGGAGACCAATGGACCCCCATTCCCTGGTGTTCACCCTCACAATTGTGGTGGAACTGCACAGTTAGTGCCAGACTAATGTGTATGATCAATGCTCAAAGTTTGATATCCCGCCCACTTCAACCTGTACCTATACTGAGTTTCGTAGAAAGTTTGAAAACCCCCTTTCTATTGTATCCGTAGGGCAAGCAAAAGAATATTGCCTTAGAAACACTCATTTTGAAAGGTCCAGAGCTGAGTTTGCATCAGTTGTTCATTAGGTGAACCAGGCAGCAAAAAGTAAAAGTTTGATAGCTTTAAGGTTACCCTAGTGAAAGCATTTCCTGCAGTAAAGGACACGGTTCAGTTGAAGTCGGAGCTATTAAAAAATATCACGTGCTAGGGAAGAAGTCATTACACTAGAATCAGAGAAAATTAAGGCAAATTCATTTTTCTTTCAAATCTTTTCATTTAAAGTTGTAATATTGTTGAAGCTGAATCTTTGAAACGTTCAACAAATTTATTAAATCAAATAACAAATGACTGCAAAATCAGATTCAGAGTACATAAAATACAATGCAAACATAGCGTTTAAAGAAAATACTTGAAACTTCAGCAACTTTCAGCCATTAAAAAAACATTAAAACAGATAACATTCTAAGTATCCCATATCTTATGGATAACAAGTTTCTTCTCAAGAAAACCATTTTTTTGAAATATGATAATACTAGTTACGTTTAAGGTATGTGTTTCATAATTTAGCTGTGAGGCAATAAGAAAACATTAAAGGTATTGGTATTTTCTTACTTGAGTATATGTGAGATATGAAACACAATTGGAAGAGAAAATTGTAAACATTTCACTCTGAACACGTCTAAGCTATTTTCTCCCCCCTTTCTGCATGTCTTCTTGGTGTAACAACAGCACACTTGGTCCGTATTCGAGAGGTCCAGGTTTGAGCCCCAGCGAGGACATTACTCATTTTTCATGTCTCTTGCTTCAAAAAACCCTAACAACAGTACGATGACGCCCCATCTAAGAAAGGCGGTGAAAAATGATTCACCACCAGGATTTGACTATTGGGTACCCTAATCCTCAGTAGCCCTTTAAGAGGAGAAGTATATAAGGTATTTTCTCCCTCCTTTCTCCAAGCCTTCATGGTGTAACCGTAGCTCACTCGGCGCGTATTCGAGAGGTCCAGGTTCGAGTACCGGCGAGGGCATTGCTCATTTTTCATGTTTCCTACTGCAAATAACCTAATGACTCTTCAGTGTCGCCGGAACTAAAAAGGTAGTGGATGATGACTCTTCACCAACAGGATTTGGCGTGTTTTCTGACCCCTTTCTGCATGCCATCATGGTATAATGTTAGCATACTCGGCGTGTATTCGAGAGGTACAGGTTCAAGTCACGGTGAGGCCATTGCTCATTTTTCACTTCTCCAGCATAAAAAAAATCCTAATATCTCTAATCACATTAATTCTAGTCGTAAATAAATTTAATAGTTACTTAAACGATACATTCAAAAAATCAGATGGTTGATCCTAGATCGTGTATACGTGAATATTCGCGAGTTTTCTAAAGACGTATTGTAGTTTTTCACAGTTTGCATACTACATACATAGTACCGTAATTTCGCGCGTATAGTCCGCGGACTATCTGTGTTTAAAATGTGAATTTTTGAAGCTGCGGACTATCCACCAGTGCGGATAATACGCTGGTTGTTCACGGTTAAAATTGTTGAAATTTAAAAAAACACGCTGTCGTGAACTGCCGATTATCAAATATAAAAAAAAACATGAGATTCCAAGTATCCTTCGCACTGCTTTAGCACAACTGCCGGGAGGGGGAAAAGTAGTTGATGCGTCAACTCGGTTTTTAGAAGCCATAGTAGCAAGTACCTGGAGTACGAAAAAAAAAAAAAAAAAAGCGTGATTCGTTTACTTATAGCGTGGTTTGGCAACACCGAGTGAGTGGGGTCGAAGGTCACATTTCATTACCACTTATCACGAGGATAGCACGTTGCACAGTATTTTGTTTTCGTAGTTTGTCTTTCGTCTTCGCTAACGTTGATGAAACATCGCCGGAGATTTACTGCTGAGAGGTAGTTGAGAAAACTGAAAAAGATGGAAATAGAGAAGCGGGCCGTTATTGGTTTAATCCTAGTATCCGGTGCACACGGGATTTGACTACTTTTGGCGACTTTTATGATGAGCAGTAAAAACGGGACATATACGATGAGTAGTTAACGGGTCATTCAAAGAAAATATATAGTTAAACATAGTATATATGTATATAGTATATATACTATATGTATATAGTATATATATATGTATATGTATATAGTATATATACTATGCGTGTATAGTATATATATAGACGTTCTTTGGATCATTTTTGGTGTTGGCGATAATTTTCAAAGTCGCGCCAAGGCTGCACCGTATACTAGGATTTTACTCCGTTATTTTGAAGTGGACAAGAAAGCGGTGAGAAATTTGCGCAAACAAAAGGATGTGTTTAAAAAGCATGGGAATATTGCCGTATTAAAAAAACGTAATTTCGGACGTATAGTCCGCGGACTATCCGGTGGTGCGGACTATCTGACAATTTTTAAATTTTTTTTTTATATAAAATCGTGTCTGCGGACTATACGATGGTGCGGACTATACGTGCGAAATTACGGTAATTTTAAAAAGGCCAGTCTTAATATTAGTCATTTGTGTAAAGGACTCAAAGTTAACCCTTATTTTTAGTTAGTTAGTAGTTTTTATATTTTTATGTCCAGACCACAAGTGGTTGGTCTTTGTATCCCGAAGTGCGGGAGCACCTGTAATATCGTGGAAAATAAAGGATAATTTAACTTTTCTTATCTTGTCATCCTTGTTGTACTCCACAGGACATAGTTTGTAGTCAAACTCACTGTCGAATCAGGACACGTCATGTTTGCCAAACAGATTAAAAGAAAGCCCCAATAGCCTGAAGCGCAGTTACAAGTTTAGTTGATATAATTCAAGTTATAAATTTCCCCAAAAGAGAAAAATATACAAATAAACTTATGAATGAACAAAATTGTATTATACAAATAAACTGTTTTTATTTTTAATAATAAGCAAGCCCTCATTAAAGTTTGATATCTGTCACAAGGTTATGTAGGTTAGGTTAAATGAACATAGTAGAGCACATTAAGATTATTTGCCTAAGGCAAGGGATGCTTCTGTGGAGGACTTAGGAAATTGGCTCATATTTATGTTACACATGATAAAAACCATGCAGCCAGCCCATTTTGGCTGAGCTTGAATCTGGGTCAAACTCCAAGCATTCAGTGGTCTTAATCACTGATTATACAGGGATTACAGGAGATACCTTAACTCTATGATTTGGATATGGAATTTGAACTTTAATAATCATACCCAAAGTTGAAAAGCTAATACCTTTTTTACTGCATATAAATAAATATATTGCCTTGATGAAATTTTGATGCTTGATTCGATTCTTAAGGTCACAATTATAAATATGTAACATTTACAAATGGATAAGTTATTTCACATTATTTTGAAAATAAAGTTTGAAATTATGTTTACTTTGTTAGGATGACTTTCAGTGATTTCCTGAATTTCTGTAGTAGATGTAGCTTGCGGACCATCACAACTATGGCTGTATGGAAGAAGGAAAAATAACTCTGTTTAGAAAAGTAACCAGAGGTTACATAGAAAACTATTCAATATAACAACTAATGAAACATAATTCATGCATTTTGTTTTTTGAAACTGCATTACCAATCATTTTTATGAGAATCCACTAATGATTCTAACTGAGAATTTGGTGAGCAACCACTTGATATAGGAGAACATGGTGTTGAAGTTACTGAAGTATACAATGAAATATTTGACTGTGTTGAATTCCACAGATCAGAATAGCAAAGCTAAAAATGAAACAAAAAATATGATAAGTAGCAACAGTTTAGCATCATCAAAAATTAACACTTGTACTTTAATTTTATAGTATAATCATTTATTTATAAAATGTTTAGTATATATGAATTTTTTTTAACAATACCCATTTCAATAAAAGAAATTTTTTACAAATTCAAGAGCAGCCATTGCTCACATTTACGGACAGTGGGTTACCAAATGGAAAACTGGGTCTCAAAGTAAGGTTTTTGATGTCAGTTACTGGATACTCGAGTTCAAGTGTGAATTTCCAGATTTGAGCAGTCAAACAGATATATAACAGTATACATGGCTAGCAACAAAACCAGCCTAAATACTCTGGCTCTAATGAGCAACAAAATTTAGAGGAAGCAAAATGGAAAGAAGGAAGGCTGACACCAACTCAAATCATAATATGAAAGTTTCTACCAATAATTAACACAGTATTACAATTCATCAAACGAAAACAATATTAATTGCTGTGAAGAAAGAACCAATTACCCAGATGATACGAGGTATTGCTGTACTGTATTTTCTGATGTATAAGAAAAGAAATGCCAGATTCTTTAAACGACTTAATGACATTCTCACCTTTTCTACGTCCAAATATCAAAGCTTTGGATTATGGCTTAATAATAAAGACAGCCCACTTAAATGCCTGGTATATCTAAACTTAACGATTATTAGAGAAAGTTTGGATGTCGATTTACAGGACAAAAAATTATGGTTAAGTTAAAGATTCTGCATTTTTTCTTTGCAATTAGAATTACTTGGTATTACTATTTCTCTATAATCAAAGTCTAAATACCATAAAAAAATTTCTTTTAGATTTTCTATTTATGAAGACTCACGACTTAAATTCAGAATAATATAATATTACCTCCCCTTTTTTAGTGATGTAACTTTTTATTTCAGTCATTTCTGTATGACAAAAATACAGGCATGCATGCAGAATAATAAATAAAATTCTGACATAAATACTAAATTTTTCCAATCCCATCCCACACTTTCAACGAAATTAAACATATATAATTTATATGTATAGAATATTATACTTACATCTCTAAACACAGTATATTCAAACTGAGGATGATATTTTTCTTTGTCAGACTGCAAACGCTTACACATTTTTTCCCTGTCAGTTTTATGTTTCCGGTCTGCTCCTTTTGGCTTGAAGAAACAAACACAATTAACAAAACCATAAACCATCAAAATGCTTTAAGTTAAATCTATGTATAATCTGTATTAACATAATATTCACCTTGAAAACTTTCACCTGGCAGGAAGCTGAATGTAACTTTTGAGAGGTAGAATCATGAGTATATGTTTCAATCAAAATACGAAAGGGAACACCTTTCTCGCCTCCATGCTTTTTTTGAGTAAATTCGGTACTTATGCAATTCAGCTAAAAACAAAGAAAACAGCCTATCACATATCTACATATTTTCAAAGAATGTACATGTAGTTATTTTAAATGTTTGCATGGCTAAATAGCTTTGAATGGTTAAATGTAGACAGCTCCGGTTTAAGAAAGGAATCGAATAAGGTAAGCCCTTCAAACTATGATAATCTGGTTATGTGAAAAACTTTTAGTAAAAATATAAAACTATGCAAAACTTAAAAAACTTTTATACAGGATATCCAGGAACAAATTCCAGTGAGAAAAATTCTAAAAGGAGAAAGGAAAAAATTATTCCACATTATAGGATCAAAATTACTTGAGAAAATATCAATTAAAAGTCTTTGAGAGAGTACACAAATACTACTAAAGATAACTATGCATATAAAAAATAAGTTTTCGGATGTATATTCTTAAAGACAACTTTCTGATTAAGAGACCATATTAAGCAACATTTGTTTTAAATTGTAATTCATAGAAATGCTAAATTCAAAATTTTATATACCATGGAATTCATTTTTATATGGGGCCTGAATCAACAATCTCCTCTTCAGGTGAAAATAGTAAAGTGATTTAAGTCATAAATTTTTTAAATTCTGCATATTCCAGAATGGCCTTTTTCCCCTCCTTAAAAGATAGCATCAGAAGCAAGTTAGTAATTGTATTTTCTTCATCATAGGCTTATTGGAATCTATGCCAACTGCCAACTTTTAAATATAAAAAATCAAGATATTTTCGCACTGTGCATTGATGTAACTTCAGATTGATAAATTTGACTCAGGGTTCCTTTATAACTCATTTTTCTGATTAAAACGCCGATTATAATGGCCGAAAATATTATTATTATACACTAGATGCCTCTTATTGTTATCATGCTTGTCCACAGCTACTTTGATATCCTTAACCGAATGATAACACTAAATGATGAGGAAAAAATTCCCATCAAAATAGCAAGGGAATTTAAATATTTTAATATAAATATGAACAGAAATATATAAGCAGCATTTTAATTAGCAAAAGGCAAAAAATTTTGTTTATGAAACGTTCACAATGTCTTTAATGCAAAAGTTCGTTTATGAACTGTTCATAATGTTTCTGGAAATTGTTTGAACGATGCTCAATCCGTAATGTTAATACTTGACATTCCTCTCTGAAAGAGAAAATGCCAATGAAAAATTTAAAATTAGGGAGGGGGTAACCCTTGTAAGGATCTTAAGTTTTACTAACGTTTATTTTATTTTAAATCTTTACTATCACTTCTTATTTTCTACTTCTGACCAGAATTATAAGCGTTAATGTTTTTATGCAAAGTTTGTCTGGCGAACGCCAAGTATTTAAGTTGTGGCTTTTTGCCAAGCGAGAAAGAGGAAGCAGTTAGTCGAAGCAGGCCGCTTACCTTAGAAGTTTACTCAGTTGCTGGTTGCCGTCCAGGCCAGAGGTTTTAATCCTCTTGATAATTTTTAAACGTATTGTAGTGTTCACAGTTCTCTGTACTACATACGCTTCCTGTTAATATAAGGCCAATCTTCCACGTTTATTATTTTAAAGTTAAATTAGAGTTTAGTTCTATTTTTATATTTTTCGTTAGACCCCAAGTAGCGGGTCTGTGTATTCCGAAGTACGGAAGTTATTGTAAATAGAGAAAATAAAGGGTTTTGTATACCCTTCTTGTGTATCCTGTCTACTTCCCACAGTTTTGAACATAGCTTTAGTAAGCTCTCTGTTCCGAGTCAGGTCCTTGCATGTTCCCGAAGAAGGTAAGATGGAACATTGAACCTGATACCCTACCTTCGCTGAGAATTTCATGTACTTTTTTTTTTCAGAAGCAAGGAAAAAGCTGGGAAAAAAATTGCAGAAATTATTTGCTCCTGAAGAAGGACCTGTATCTAACCACATTATAAAACCAACAGAGTTATTCAAAAAGTACGTCAAACTAAGGCTACATTTTTTGGCTTAATTTTAAATGGTTGATTAAAACCAAAGTAAGCTATTTGGTGATTTAGTCCCTTATTTAGAGTCATTTCTCTGTCACATGCAAATTCTTATAATTTATTTTACCTTATTTGATTACTTTAATTCAGTTTAAAAAAATTTATTTTGTAATATGTTGATCATGTTAAACGAATTGTTGATTGCAAAAAGCAAAGTATTTTCCATATTTTCTTACACAAAAGAGCGGAATTTTGGCAATTCGATAACAATATCCAAATAAAAACATTTACCAGCGTTTACTGTATATTAATTTGGTAAATATTTATTCATTATTCCAAATTTTATGCTTTTCGACTAACTTCATTTGGTCTTGTAATTCCTATATAATTTTTACGATGAAAAGTTAAGTAGGAAAGAAACGTTTTCACGTTTTAAAATGTTTTATACATAATAAAGATAACATTAATAATCAATATGCATATAATTGACAGGAGAAATTCAACTTTAATAATCAATATGCATATAATCGACAGAAGAAATTCTGTAATACAGTACTGAGAATGAGAAGCCGAAATTTAATTCATGGGTTCACATATAAATGATGCAGGGTGTTTTCGAAAGTCCAAGATAACAAATGTCATTCTGCAAAACATGAGAACTAAAGTGCATATACAGGTCAGATATTACGAACAAAACGTTCTTTCACGTTCCAAATTAAAGACTAACATTGGTTCTCTTACATTCTAGAACCTGACGTCACTTTAGCACAGCTTCAATTCATTACAGTTTGCAATTAGAATTAGAATTAAACAGTTTCAGGCGCACATTAATTTAAATATTGGTTTTTGTCTATATAAAATTTGGAGGAAAAATATCTAAGCCTCTTTGCTTAATTATTTAATCTCATAAAAAAATATTATTCAATATGACATATAAAATACCGATATTTGAAATTTGACCTAAAATAGACTCTCATCAATTGTAGGCCTTTCATATTGGTCATTGTAATAGAACGACTGTTATAACAAGTGTCTATTGCGTTAACACTTCTAGCATGTTTTCTTAGAATCTAACTATTTAGATATTCTCTTTCCAAATCAAACAAAATATAAAGGAGGCAGACAACAATCAGCTATTTGACACAAACAATTAATTTTTCCTGAAGCTTTTAACAGTGATATAGACCAAATAAGAATGTTACTTAAATTGAGTTATTTCTAAAAGTTTTTCATAAAGCTGTCTGAAGAAAACATTTTTGTATGCATTTTTGTTAGTTATGTTTTATGTATGAGTACACCTAATCAGAAACGAGCCGAGGTTTTGCCCAAGTACTGAATCTTTGCAAAGTTTGCACGTAAATATATAGAAAATTTTACTTGAATAATTTTCTATACATTAAATAAATGATTTATTAATAAGAAATTTGCCTCTATAAAATCCGTATAAAAATTTATTAGTGTGTTTATTTTACATAAACCTCCCCTCTATGTGGAAGCCGTTTTCATAATATTATGTAATTTATTTTATTGGATGTATATGCACAGAATCCATATGGAGTTAAATAGCTTACAGAGACCTTTCTGAACATTCTGCATTATACAGCAAATGAATTAAAATGTGTCATCTTTCCAAATTTTCTTAAAAAGCTCTTCGGTGAATTCGAAATAGGTATTCAGTTTGCTTTCAGCAGACTGATAATTTTTACAAGAGAAATTTAGGCAAATTCTTTTTAAACAAGTGGTTTTATTTCAGTTTCCTACTATAAAAATAAATATATATTCGCGAATCAAACTCAGAATGTAACTAGGAATTTTCAGCAACCTTACTTTCTCAGCAATTAGTTATGTTTCTAGGGGTAATAAAGTAAAGTGCTTGAACAAGAGATCCATAAAGCATTTAATTTTAATTTGTAATAATACGTTTTCAATACACATGAAATGATTCATAAACCTGTATGGTTTTAATACAATAAAACCACAACTACAAGAAACTGACATCATATACGGTAGATTTTTATTAAAAAAAAATCATATTGGTGATTTTTTTTTACTAAAAGGAAGATTAATCAAACTATAGTTGCATGATAATTAAACTACAATTACAAAAATTAAATTAAAATATGCCTGAAAACAGATATAATATTTTTTTAGTATACCGGTGTTATTTTAATTTTATGTAACTATTTTGTATATTATTTTGTTTTTATATATTTTGTTATTACGATCGAATAATGAATAGGAGTACTTTTTAAGTATAAATCAAAGAAGTAACTTGGCACTTAATTTGAAATGAACTTTGCAAATTAAAAGAGAAATCATAGTATGTTATTTTCAGTTCTCAGTTTTCAAAACATGTCATTTGGAGCGTTTAAGTTTGTTTGCATATTTAATCTATTCATCTTCTGCATTTCCATTAAACCAAATCCAAAAGTCATTCCTAATATTAAACTGAAAATTAAATTTATTAATATGTGTGATTCTTACAGTTTAATATAATATACAGTTCTTACAGTTTAATATAATATTCACTATAAACGACCTATCCCTTTTCAAATTGTTGGCAACAAATATTATCACCTTGTATTATTTTTAAAGGAATTAAAGAATAAAGATTTCTCATGTATGAATTTGTGTTTCTAGCATTTTGAAAAAACGACCAACGGTACCTAATTAAGCCATTAAATTTTGAATAACGTAGTCCTCCACCCAAATATGTGCACCTGGAAGCCCAAATTTTGAATTTCCAATTTTTCGTATTATTTATTTCATATTTTTAAAATTTAATCAATTTTTGTTTAACAAATTTAACGATATGAAAGCGAGCACTAATACTGTTCGGTGTTACAGTAATACTGTTCGAAAAAAACATTTTTATCTCAGTTCATGAGACTGTTCCCAATCGAAAAATTGCAAGATATTTATTTATCTTTCAGTTTTAATTAAGAAACTCGACTCTATGAAAGCAATATGTTGCTGCTGCCGGGAGTAATTTTTTTTTTTTTAAATCTTTCACTCGTCAGTGTATTGCTCTTCAGTAAAGCCTAAAACACTTTTGTATTTAATCTGGAAAGTTAA